CACACCTGGGGCTCAGACCTTGAAGAAGCAGCCCCAGGTCTTGTCCCTGGCTCGGGATCCCGCAGGTTGGATGGGGTTAAGGCCAGACCCCAGGACCAGATTCCCCTCCTTGGCCGTGAAGCTCCCTTTGCCTCTGAGCCTGGCCTGAGCCTTGGGCTGGCCCCCGATAGAGCCTGGCCTTCCCCAAAGACGACACTTCCATGCAGGCGCCCAGCCTGCAGAGACTGGCGACGTTGCACTTCCCAGGTGCTTCCATGGAGGTCCTGCACAGACAGCCCTGCCCGACCCGGCCACCACAGCCCTGCCCGGCCCAGCCACCAAGCCCTGGGAGCAACCGCCTCCCCCTGCGCGGGCCCCTCCCTTCCAGGCAGAGGGACGCCAGGTGGGGTGGCTGACGAGCTGAGTAAATTGTGCTTCCAGGGACAGCTTGTTCTCTCCCCGCGCCACCGTGCCCGGGGACCCTCTCCTGGCTGGGGCAGAGGGGCCACCCTGACCTCACCAGGGGCTTCCCAGACGCGGGCTGGGCTGGAGGGTCCTCTCGTAGAAGCAGGACCTGAGCCCGCCTGGGGCAATGACCACAGCCCCCTGTCCTGGCTTCTGTCTCCTCCTCTGCACTTCGATTGTGCCCCTCCCTTCCGTGGTCTCGGACCCACAGACGGAGCCCTGTCTCACTTTCTGGGGTCCTCTGACGGACCCCATCCGTGGCTCAGGCAGGGAGTTGGCCCGGAGGCCCCTGCCCCTCCTGTGCCAGCAACAGGTGAAGGCCCAGATGGAGTGGTGGCCCCTCCTTCTCAGGCCCACCCACTCCCTCCCCACACGGGGCGGGAGCCCTCAGTGCGCCCTTCCACTTGCATCGTGGCTGGTGACACCTGGGACCTACTGGGCTCAGGTCCTCCCACTGTGAGGACCAAGGGGGTGGGGAGCTCAGGAGCAGGAGCAGCCTCTGGTGGGGGCACTCCGGCCCCACTTCTCCTCCTCCCCTTCCCCACCGGGACCGCACGAGCAGTTCCCGCTCTTGCCAGCTCTCCCAGTGCACAGTCCTCACCAGCCACCCTTCCTTGTCCGCCTGCTGTCTCTGTCCCTCTGGGCCCTCAAGGGCCTCAACACCACCTGCTGACACCTCAGGTGCCAGGTGTGAGGGGGTTCAGGGACACACAGGAGTGCACTTGGCTCAGGTGGGCCTGTTGGCACCAAGGCAGTTAGGTGAGGGCTGGTCTGGGGGCCCAGGCCTGAGCTGCAGTGGGGTGGCGTCGCCAAGGGGTGCCCTCCCTACCCCCTGCCTTTGCGCTACCCCCCATCTGGGGTGTCCTGCTCCCTCCATGCAAGGCCACGGTGCAGCTCATCACGCTGAGCGCGCAGACGGCCAGCCCTGCCCCTCCCAGCCCGCTGGTGCTCCCTCCTGGGGCCTGCGGCTGCTCCCTCCCAGCTCACCTGGCAGGTATCTCAGTCAGCCCGCTTCACCTGGCACCTCACCACGGTCTGAACATTTGTGTCCCCCAAATTCATGTGTTGAAGTTCTAACCCCCAAGGTGATGGTGTTAGGCGGTGATTGGGTCATGGGGGTGGAGCCCTCACGCGTGAGGTTAGCACACTGATTAAAGAGGCTCCACGTGCTCGCTTCGGCAGCATGTATACTAAAATTGGAACGATACAGAGAAGATTAGCGTGGCCCCTGCTCAAGGATGACACGCAAGTGGGTGAAATGTTCCATATTAAAATAAAATAATAAATAAAGAGGCTCCAGAGCGCCCCTCCCCCCTCCACCGGGTGAGGACACTGAGAAGGTGCTGTCTGTGCAGAGCAGGTCCCCACGAGACACTGAGTCTGCTGGTGCCTCGATCACAGACTTCCCGGCCACCAGAACTGTGAGAAACAATGTCTGCTGCTTACACGCCACCCGGTCTCTGCCGTCTGGTTGTGGCAGCCTAGGCTGGACAGGCAGACACCCCTCTCCCCCACCCGGTCCCTGCCATCTGGTTGTGGCAGCCTAGGCTGGACAGGCAGACACCCCTCTCCCCCACACCCTGTCTCTGCCGTCTGGTTGTGGCAGCCTAGACTGGACAGGCAGACACCCCTCTCCCCCACCCTGTCCCTGCCGTCTGGTTGTGGCAGCCTAGACTGGACAGGCAGACACCCCTCTCCCCACCCTGTCCCTGCCGTCCGGTTGTGGCAGCCTAGGCTGGACAGGCAGACACCCCTCTCCCCACCCTGTCCCTGCCGTCCGGTTGTGGCAGCCTGGCTGGAACAGGCAGACACCCCTCTCCCCACCGGTCCTCTGCGTCGTTGTGGCGCCTAGGCTGGACAGGCAGAACACCCTCCTCCCCACCCTGTCCCTGCCGTCCGGTTGTGGCAGCCTAGGCTGGACAGGCAGACACCCCTCTCCCCCGGCACCACCTCCACCCTGACTGCAGGCTGCTGGCCTGAGGACAGCAGGGGGTTTAGTTTCCTGGGCCCCTCCCTGCTGGGGGCCAGCCCAGGCTTTGCCCACGGGACTTGCCCCCGACTGGGCAGACAGACACCCAGGACCAGCAGTGCTGCCTGCTCAGCTGGGGACCCCAAGGGACCCTGGGTGTGTTCAACTGAGCTGGGAGTGGCCAACCCTGGAGACGCGTTTCTAAGGCTGCTCTGGCCTTGGGGTTCCAGGAGCTCCTGCTCTTTGCAGATCCAGCCACTGGCCCGAGCACTCACACACAAGCGCACATACACACACACACACATGCACAGCACCATTGCTCAGCTGGAGGCCGAGGGGTCCCAGGCAGAGTGTACCCCAGGGTGACCCTTCACCTGCTGGCCCCACCCCTGCCTCACAGGGGACTTGGGGCATCTCAACCGGTCCAGGCGTTGACCACCATCCGGTCGAGATTTCATTCCAACACGGAAACTGTTAGAGTCGCTTCCGGAAGGTGTTGAGAGCTGACACCCTAAACTCAGAGTCTCCAGTAAGTGTACCCACACCAGGAAAACAGCCCCGCCCAGTCGGCCTCACAGCCCGGGCTCGGGGTTTCTGAGCGATTAGTGAAGTCTTGCAAGTATTTGGTGCATGAGTTATTTCCTCCTGGGTCAGACTTTGTGTTTGATATCCCTGCCCCCACCCCAAGGAGCAAGCTGAGATCCTAGAGTCCACAGGGGTGCGTGAACTCAACAATGAGCACCCTGTCCGGGCACCCGGCCCAGGCGAGGCTGCCACAGGGTTTCCACGCAGAAGAAAGGGCAGTCCCCCGAGACGGAAGGACGAGCCGCGTCCACTGGAAGGCTCAGAGGACTTGGGGTTCACGATTCTCAGCTTCATCTGAGTCCAACCAGGCACCCCCACTCCACAACGTTCCAGCACCCAGCTCCTTCCCACTTGACACCCCGACTTCCTCATAAGGAACTCTCAGGGCTGCGAGTGCAGCCTGCGTGGTCCTCATACCACCCGCAGAACCAACTGCGGTCGCCAGCCCTGGGCTCTAGGAAATCGGGCTTCCCTCGGCGTTGCCCTGGCAGCTCTCTGGCTCTCTGGCTGCGACTTGAGCAGAGGGTTAAAGGCCTGAAGGTGCCGCCCCTTCTTGTCGGTTCCGTGGGTGCCTCGCAGACAAGCTGGGGAGAGCCTGGTGGCTCGAGAAGACCCCCCACACGCCGTGGACTACCAGCCTCCCCCGCCCGCGGGCCGGGAGCTGGCCCTGGACACAACCGGCCCTGCCCCCAAGCCCCACCTTTGAGGGTGTCTCTGGGACGGCCCCTACTACAGTCTATCTGTCGGTCCACTCGGGAGACAAGCCACATTAGTGATTCCAATAGCACGAACTGAATAGGCAGAACTGTTAATTAGTTGCAAAGTTAATTATGTAAAAAGAGCTCTAGGGAAAAAGTGGAAGAAGCAGTTGCTAAGTTCAAAGACGGAAGACCCAGCCTCTCGAAACAGACTGGCGGTTTCAGTGACAGCAGCCACCTGTCACCCCCACCTCGGCTCAGGTGACCAAGCTCCACAGGTTCCCCCACCCTCTCCCAGGTAAATCCTGAGCACACCTGTGTGCCTGGTCTGTGCACCTGTTCTCTCTCTCTCATTTGACTCGGTGACAGATCTCCAAAACCCCGTTTTTAGGTGAGGGACTGGGCCTCCAGCTCTCAGGGCCGGGCTGGTGGCTCAGTGGCGGAGACCTGGGCAGTCAGACCACCCAGCCCCTCCCCTTCCGCCCAGGTCACCCCCAGCCTGACTCCCAGGGACCCGCTCTCCTAGCACCCTGGACATACACACCCCAGTCCCAGGTCCGCTGTGGGAAGGGGAGCCTCCCGACCCCCTGAGCTGCGGCTGGGTCTGAGAGCTCCACACCCCACTTCCCCCACCGAGAGCCCCACTTTCCCCGACCGCGTCTAGGAGCAAGGATTGGTGCCCACCCCTGGGGGTACTGGGCTCCCGCCCTGCAGGAAGGACAGTCCGCGAGTGTGTGTGCAGGTGCTGGGTCTGCACCGTGGTCCACGGCCCAGGCCAGGGCAGGGGGTCTTCAGCCCCCCTTTCTGGCCTGTCTGGGCTGGCAGACACCAGGCCAAGACCCCCGGCCTCTCACTCACACCCAGTGGGGAGAGAAGCCAGGAACGGGGCAGCCCCAGGTGTGCAGGGGCAAAGTGGAGCTGGGCCCCACAGACGCGCTGGTCATGGGTGCAGGTTAGCAGGTGGGCCCAGGCCTGGGCCATCGTGACGAGCAGGGACCACCCGTCCCTCACACCCTGTCCAGGCCCCAAACCCACCACCCTCGTTAGAGACTGAAGGGAAGAAACACCAGGGCGAGGCCTGTGCAAACCCCTGGCCAGGTGGCCGGGGGAGAGACCCCATGCCCAGCCTCTCAGGACAGGTGAGCAGAAGGTCTGGCCTTCCTTCCCAGCAGCCCCTGGGGCCCCTTGGACTGAGGGGCTGAGAGACAGAAGCAAGGGAGGAGAGGGGCTCTGGGAAGGGGCACCCACTCAGTAGAACCCCCCCGCACCCCCCCTCCCCGTCCTCTGCCCCTCCCCCACCAAAGCGCCATGGAACTCCTGGAGCACAGAGCACGGGCAGGAGCGGCCGCTTCCAGGGAGCCCAGGCCCGCATCACAAAGGGCCCCGGAAGCAGAAGCGAAGAAGCCGCTGCTGTCCCGAAGGAGCCCACCCTGCTCGGCCAGCTCCTGGACACCTAGACCCAGCCTGCAGGGACCCGCCATCGGCGGCCACTCCCGGGGAACGAAGGTAAGGTTTGCCGAGCGAGGGGCCTGTGCCCTGGGCAGCGCCTTGGAAACACCCTCCCAGCCCAGCCCACGTCACACAGGCCAGGGCGGGCGGGCGTCCGAGTGCAGCTTCCCTGGTGCCCGGCAGGCAGCGCCCTCGGCCACGGCTCCCCTCGGGGACAGAGGTGCTGTCCCCCCTCCACAGCGGCCTGGAGGCCACGGAGTGCCCCAGGGAGCTGAGGCCTCGGCCGCCCACTGCCCTCCGTCTGGGCTCTGTCTGGGGCTTTTATCGCGTGTGCGCCTTTGGGCACATCAAGTCCGCGGAAGCCCACGGCACAGAGCAAATCAACAGCATTTGCGAGTGGAGTAATTAGTCCTAATCAACGTTAGTGAGACTTGAACCACAAAGGCTAGGCCAGACTTGTCCGGTATCATTCATTCATTCCTCATTCATTCATTCGTCCAACAGATGTTGACTGATGTCTCCGCCGTGGGGGGCGCCCGTCAAGGTGCAGTGACCCCGACAGAGGGAGCCCCCGACCCCGTGCAGCTGACGTTGTCGGGGACAACAGGAGTAGAAATGCCTCCCATCGGGGTGAGACAGAGCAGGGGAGGGGTTGGGGAGGGGCTCTCCACCGTGAACCTGGAGGGCTGGTCAGGGGAGGCCCCGCCGGGAAGGTGGCCTTGGCAGGGACGGGGGATGGGCCTGCCCAAGGGAGGGGCAGGGGTGCACAGTGGATGGGGGGCACCGTGAGCAGGGTGGGGGCCGCAGAGGGCCCTGAGATCAGAACAAGGCTCCTCCTCCAAGGGGAGTGGGCACCACAGGGGTCCTGGCTAAAGGCCCCCTGGGCCGCTGAGCTCAGGATCAATAGGAGACAGACCCCTCGGGCAGGGGACTCACGTGGAGCAGGCATGAGCAGCAGGTGTGAGAAAGGGCCAGGCTCGGACTGGAGGGCGGGAGTGGAGCAAGGGACAGAGGTGGCTCCAGGTTTGGCTTCAGCAACCAGGAGGATGGGACTGTCTGGGGAAAGGGCAGAGGCTACTGGAGGGACCCGCAGAGGGTGTGAGCAGCACGTCAACACCAGGGGAGGTGCCAGGGAGAGACACAAGTACCCAGGGGAGGTGCCAGGGAGGGGCTTGTGTACCCAGGGGAGGTGCCAGGGAGGGGCACGTGTACCTAGGGGAGGGGCCAGGGAGGGGCACGTGTACCCAAGGGAGGTGCCAGGGAGGGGCACAAATACCCAGGGGAAGTGCCAGGGAGGGGCACGTGTACCCGGGGAGGTGCCAGGGAGGGGCACGTGTACCCAGGGGAGGAGCCAGGGAGAGACATAAGTACCCAGGGGAGGTGCCAGGGAGGGGCACGTGTACCCAGGGGAGGTGCCAGGGAAGGGCTCGTGTACCCAGGGGAGATGCCAGAGAGGGGCTGTGTACCCAGGGGAGATGCCAGGGAGGGGCACGTGTACCCGGGGAGGTGCCAAGGAGAGGTGCGTGTACCCAGGGGAGGTGCCAGGGAGGGGCTCGTGTACCCGGGGAGGTGCCAGGGAGGGGCACGTGTACCCAGGGGAGGTGCCAGGGAGGGGCTCGTGTACCCAGGGAGATGCCAGAGAGGGGCTGTGTACCCAGGGGAGATGCCAGGAGGGCACGTGTACCGGAGGGTGCCAGGGAGAGGTGCGTGTACCCAGGGGAGGTGCCAGGGAGGGGCTCGTGTACCCGGGGAGGTGCCAGGGAGGGGCTTTGTGTACCCAGGAGGTGCCGGAGGGCCGTGTACCCGGAGAAGGTGCCAGGGAGGGGCTCGTGTACCCAGGGGAGGTGCCAGGGAGGGGCTCGTGTACCCGGGGGAGGTGCCAGGGAGGGGCTCGTGTACCCGGCGGAAGGTGCAGGGAGGCTCGTGTACACCAGGGAGGTGCCAGGGAGGGGCTCGTGTACCCAGGAGAGGTCCAGGGAGGCGCTGGCTGTGGACCCCCTCCTCATCAATCGGGGAGCCCCTGGCGGGAACTCAGAGCCAGGAGAGACAGAGGCAGAGGCTGTGGGGACAGGAAGGGAGGAGGAGGATCGAGGTCCAGGTCCCAGTCCCCACTCTGCACCGGGGCGAGAGGTCGGGGCAGGAGGAATTGTGAGCCCACCTGGCCTTGCTGCCTTTGCAGGGACTGACCTGGTAATTCCTAAGCTTCCCTCCCCCAAGTTGGGCCGTTTGGCAAGTGATGCCCAGACAGAGTAAGAGACTGTCTAAGACCCAGCAAGTCAGGGACAGAACTCAGGCAGAGCCCACGGGAGTCTGTGGGGTGAGAACATCTAACCCTGCTGCTCGGTCTCAGCAGCTGACACTTACCTGCCCAAAGGCAAGACTGGGTCTGCCTTCCTCGGCTTTCTCTCAAATGCTCTGCCCTGCCTGGCGCAGAGCATGCCTGGGGGCTCAGCACCGCAGGTGTGCCATTGCGTTTGACGACCTGAAGTGCTGGAAGCCCAGAGAACCGGAGAGCAGCCAGCTGTTTCTCCAGGTGCCGGCAGCTTCCGGGGCAGGGCCCTGAGCACCAGCGAGGGACGTGCAGGTGCACACACATGTGCACACTCACATGCAGCCATACACATGCACACAGGAGCACATACACACATGCATACTCACCATCATACACATGCACACTCCCATGTACTCTTACCTGTGCACACTGGCATGCACATGCACATACACATGCATATGCGCATGACATGCTCATGCACATACTCATACACATGCACACACATTCACATGCTCACACTCATACGTGTGCAGACTCACATGCACACAGGAGAACACGCAGATCGGGAGCCCTCAGAGTCCCTGTCCCCCAGCCTTCCTGCCCAGCTCCCCGTCCTGCCCACAGGAGCAGGGGACCACAGAGCTGCACACCGACCAGGTGGCTGGTGGCTTCGGGGCTGAGCCTTGGGGCAGACACAGTCACTGCTTGCATGGGTGCCGTCATTTTTGTCGGCCCCTCTCCAGCTCCTGGGCTCCAACAGGAAGCTGGGCAGGGTGCCCAGAGGCCTGAGTGGTCTCCCGGACAGCGCCCCTGACCTAGCGCCCAGGCCCACAGCTCCAGGACCCCCTGGGCATCGGCAGCCCAGGCAGGCTCCACTGCAGGGGCTGCTCCGCAGCACAGGGGCCGGGGCTGGTGCACGACCCCAAGCTGGGAGCAGAATGTGCCCGGACTACCCCCTGCCTGCCAGAGAGGGGGCTCCGGGAGAGGCCAACCTCAAGAAGAGATGGCCATCATGGCCCGCCAGCCAGGCCTTCTCCCAGCTCAGGGGACCAGGGGTAGTGTCGGGAGCCCTGAGACGCAGGTGCCCTGGGCTTATGCGCTTGGAGAGAGAGACGGGACAGAGCGTCCCAGGAGCGCCCAGAGTGTGCTGCCAGCCAGCGCCTGGCCCTTCCAGCCTCGGGCAGGGCGCCGGGAGCTGCGCGGGTCTCCCGGCCGTGGCCTGCGGGCTGCTCAGCCGCGCTGTCCCGTGCAGAGCCTGCCGATGGGGAAGCCCGAGAGCGCGGCGAGGATGGACAGAGCCGGCCCCGCGGGCCGCGGGCGCCCAGGCTTCCTGGAGGGCGCGCTGCTGCTGCTGCTGCTGACCGGGGCCCTGGGGGCCCTGGGCGTCCTCTACACCGCCAGCAGAGGTGAGTGGGGCCGGCGCCCCGCACCCGCTCCGGGCTCGCCCCGCGCCAGCCAGCCTTGTCACGTGGGCGGGCGGGTGGGCACTGGGCCCCGGACTCCACCGCGCTCCCGCCACAGAGGCCGCGGGGACACTGGCCGGCAGGGACCAGCGGCCCCTTCCAGAAAGCGCTGTCCCGGCCGGGCCCGCGCGCGGCTGCACCCGCGGCTCCGGCCTGAGCTGCGCAGACCCGGGTGCGGCTGCGGTTCCCGCGGCTGCGCGCGCTCCTGGCAGGGCTCACCCACAGGATGTGCCAGGGTCCCCTCCCCCTGTGACCGTTAGCCTCGGTCATGGGGACCTGCTACGGAAGGGGCCGGGCTGCTAGGGTCCCCAGCCAGATGCAGGCGCGACCAGGGCGGTCCCAGGAACCCCGCCCCCAGGCCCCTCCCTCGCTCTGCTCCCCCCCCCCCAGGCCGATATGGAGGAGCCCGGACTGTTCCCCTCTCAGGGCCAGGGGCACCCGGGCACCAGCAGACCTGGGCCACCTCCAGCTGCCCTCCACGGTGCCCTGAGCCCAGTGGGCGTGTGCACGTCGGGGCGGGCACCTGCCGCTGAAGCTCTTGCCTGGGCCTGGCTCTCAGCATCAGGCGCTGCAGCCTTTGATGCTAAAACGTTCCCTCCAGGCTGGAGCCACCTGCACTGCGGGGACCACCCCTCGACCACGGGGCAAGGCTGCCCCTGGGAAACAGACCTGGGTGCTGTGCACGTGGCTGGCATCCCACCCAGGCCTCCTCGGGTCTCCTGCCGGGGACCATGGGCAGGAGGGAGGGAAGGCTGGCGCTGGGAGCCCAGAGCCGGGGAAACTCTGTTCAGGGCTCTCTGGGCTCAAAACACCTGGTTTTGAGATTTTCAGTACACAGGGCTGACCCAAAGGACACACCCCCAGCAGTGGGGCGTAAAGGGCCCCTCTCCCCTTCTGGGTGGTGCCAAGAGGCCGGAACCCACCCAGCAGGGGAGACCCTCCCTGCCCATCCCCCTCAGCCTCCTCAGGGTCCCCTGGACCCCAGAGAAGCCTCTACCTCTGTGTCCCCACCCCGCACTGAGCTCTTGGGGCTCCTGGACCCCTCCAGGACCACTGGGTCCCCTGCTTCCATCCCGGCCCCTGTGCCCCCCCCCACCAGGAACACCCTCCAGCCCAGGGCCGAACTTGGGGGGGGCGGGTTTATGTCCAGACTTCTTGTGAGCGCTCATTCCTGAGTATTTTCTCATTTCCATTGTGATTTTTTCCCCATTGACTCGAGAGTTATTATGAAATTTTAAAAATTGTCCAGATGCATCTGAGGTTTTAAATTATCGATTTCCAACTTAATTGCATTGCTGTCAGAAGCCATGGTTAATGGGATTATTTATGTGATCCTTTGATATTTACTGAAGCTTGCTTTAGGGCTATGTGTGTCAATTTAACAACTAATCCACGTGTGCCTGTGGAGTGCACCAGCCACTAGTTGCTGGGTGATCAGCTCAATCAAATCTTCTATCCATTTGCTTTTTTTCATATTCTTGATCTTTCAATCATTGAAATGTATGTGTTATAAGCTTAGACATGAAATCTTAAAAAAAAAAAAAGAAATGTATGTGTTAAATCTAGCACTAGGGAAGAAAACGGAAGAAATCATTTCTTCTTGTAGTTATGTCACATTAATTTACCTAATTTACCTGCTTGAGGTTATATTATGTGAATAAAAATTTAGATATGAGTTATAAAATTAGCTTCATAAATTTATTAGTTATATTAGATACACATATAGAATTAATATATTTTCTACTACATATAATTATGTAGTGAACCTTTCCATCTTAACAAGGCTTTCCGCCTTAAATTCCATTTTGTATTAAATTCTTTCTTGTCTGGCATGAACACAAGCTACTGATTAGCATTTGTTAAGTCCATTTTTTCCACTCTTTTTCTTGGAAAGTTTTGTGTCTTTAGATGTGTCTCTTGCAATAGCTTATAGCTGGATTTGGGGTTTTGTCTGTCTCCTAACTGAAGGGATTTTCTGTTCGCATTCACTATGATTACTATCATAAAATGTACATGTTTTTCTTTTGTGCTTTTTGTGCCCTTTTTTCTCTTTTCTCACCTCATTTGGACTGCTCTATTATTATTCACTCCATTTTCCCTAAACTAGCTTGGAAGTTTTTTATTTCTATCCTTTTGATGATTATCTTAGATTTTTTTTTGTTTTATTTGTTATTTTAAAAGTTATAAATTTTATTTTGGAAAGTGAAATGTTTTTCCAGAAGTTGCAGTGAGAAACAGTCCCATGTCCATCCAGGATTCTGCTTCTCAGAAGCATTCACATTCATTGTCTAGTGCAGAGTTTGGCAAACTCTGGCCCAGGGGCCAAATCTGGCTCCCTGCCTATCTTTGTAAATAAAGTTTTATTGGAACACAGCCACGCCCATTCATTTCCGTATTGTGTCTCTGGGTGTGTTCCTGCTACAGCTGCAAAGTCGAGTAGGTGAGACAGAGACTGCATGTGGCCCATGAAGTCTAAAATACTCACTGTCTGGCCCTTTACAGAAAACATTGCCAAACTCTGGACCTGAGTGCCCCCTTAGGTGTCTAAACCTTGTCCTTGAACCCTCCTCTCATTATTCTACAGTTTATATCTGAAGGAGAAGTTATAAGGTTCTGGTTAACACTCAGGCTCCCAAGCTGACAGCCTGGCTGGGCATTTCAGCTCCCAATTCTTAATGCCTCTGTGCCTCGATTTCCCTATCTGTAAAACAGAAATAATATCGGTCATACATTAGAGGCTTATGTGAGGGTTCAATGATTTACTGTGTCAATAATATTTAGAAGAATGTCCATCCTGCTGGTGATCACGTGCCAGCTTTTGTCATTGTCACTGCCGTCCTGTCCGGAAGGCGTATTTAGCTTATAAACCACGGAGGCGGCCACTCTCCCCACACAGGTGTGTCGTGGCCTTCAGTGGGATCCGTGCTCACCGTTTACAGCGGAGCCGTGAGGAATGACAGATCACGTTTCCCTTTTTGTCCTTATTTAGTTACTCTATCATTAATAGCTACCTTGTTTGAAGTTTCCACTTTTGATCTGTAAAATTATTTCGATTACAAAGCCTATCTTTTATCATCTCAGATATCCACCTCATGCTCATCAGACGAACGTGGCTAGTTGTGGAAGCCACAGCATGTGGCTTGAGTGCCAGGTAATAACTCACAACAGCGTTTGCCGTTCATCACTCCAGGTGTAAGCCAATGCAAGATGACGTTTCTAAATGTCAAAATTCTTTTTCTAAGCTCTCTGACAGTGTCTCCAAAAACGATTTTTTAAAAGCGAGCAGCTTTTCGTTTTGCCTAAGTGGTTACAATTTATTTTCTCTCTTCTGCAGAAGGTTACAAGCTTAAGTCCAGGAGTCTTTCTGACTGTTCCTAACCTAACACGTGGCACAGAGCTTGTGTATAGTCTGTTCTCTGCTGCTGTCTAATCTTTGGTGACTTAAATAAGAGGATGCCAGGCCACATCTCTACAATTATATTTATCTCTGGAAACCAATGAGTCTATAAATCTTCCAGAGATAAATCTTGCTCTTTATAATGATTATTAGGTAGGTATTAGGTGCGATAATATGGTTTGGACTCACACAAACATATGGTCTATAATTATCTTTCCAGAATTCTATGAACTCTACATCTGGGTGAGTGTTACTGGGCTCACTTGCTTTTTTTTTTTTTTTTTTTACCATTTCCAATGCTCTTTCTTCTTGTGGATCCATCGTGTAGATTCGAATTCCCATCTGGCCTCATTTTTGCTCTTTGTAAAAAACTTAACATTCCTAGTAGTTCAGATGTGCTGGAAATGCATTCTCTCCACCTTTGTTTGTCTGAAAAAGTCTTCATTTAATGTTGATTTTTGAAAGATACCCTTTCTGGGCTTAGCATTCTAAGTTGACGAGGTTTTTGTTGTTGTTGTTTTATGGGTTTTGTTTCTTGTTTTTTTCCCCCTCTAGGTCACTCCATTGCCTTCTGGCTTGCATAATTTCTGAAGAAAAGTCTGCTGTAATTCCTATCCTTGTTCTTCTCTGTAATGTTTCTTCTTTCTCTAGCTGTCTTTGTGCATTTCTTTGTATCCTTGGTTTATAGCAGCTTGGCTATAGTGTGTCTAGTACTGGGGTTTTGGGTGTGTGTGTGTGTGTGTGTGTGTGTGTGAATATATTGATATTTGTGCTGTTTGGGGCTCTCTGCCATTGTTTGGCTTTGTTATCTTTCACTAATTTTGGAAAATACTCAGTCATTATCTTTTCAAATATATCTCCTTCCTCCTCCTCCTCCTCTTCCTCTTCTCTTCTCTTCTCTTCTCTCCTCTCTCTGATACTCCACATACATGTATGCATGTTGGATGGTTTGATATCATCCCTCAGTATTTGGTTGCTCTGTTCAGTTTTTGTTCACTCTTTTACTGTTAACATTTGAGATTCAGTTTGAAGAGTTTGACCTAATTAGTCTGCAGCTTCACAGATTCTTTCCTCCACTGCCTCCCGTGCACTTGTCAGTCAGTAAAGGAAATTCTCTGCCTCTAACATTGTGTTTTCATTTCTTATATTTTCATTTGGCTCCTTTATATGGTTTCCATCTCGTTTCTGAAGAGATGTTACCCACTCTTTCCATTAGATCCTTTAGGAATGTGAGAGAGGACAGCCCTGCCTCAATCCTGGTATTAGAGGAGAACATCCACTCTCACCATCACCTGTGATGTTAATTCTAGTATTTTTGTAGACGTTTCCCTCTAATCGATCTTTAATTCTTTTTCCTTTGTGTTTCATTTTTTATTTTTTTCTTTTTTTTTTCTTTTGTAAGAACATGTTCTGTAATATCCTTTGTGTTTCAGTTTGGATAATTCCTGTTGACCTGTGTGTGTGGTCATTGACTCTTTGGAGGTGTTCAGTGTGCTGTTAAACATAAAAAGCAAATGTTTCACTTTTTTATTGCATGTCCATTCAATTATTTTCTATAGTTTCCATGGATCTAGTGAAATCTACCATATATCTACGTATGTTTTCCTTCTTTTCTGCAAGACTCTTCACCTCAATTACCATAGCTGTTATACAGAGCTTGTCCACTGAGACAGACACCTGGGTCATCTTGGAGTCTACTTCTTTCGACTGTTTTGGTTCTTTCCCTCTCTCTCCCTTGTGATTGCGGGTCTCATGTGCCTGCTTCCTCGTGTGGGAGGGTTTCGCTCAGCTTTCCTCCCGCCCCTCTTCAGGCACCACCAATGCACACTCAGCGAAGGCCCCATGAGAATGAATTGTGGGGGGCTACAGACCCTGTGGCTGGGGCTCCCCAGACCTTGATCTCTTGCACCAAGCCACACAGAGGTGCAAAGGGCTCTCAAAGTAGTCCCTCGAGCTCCCGACCGGCCTGGCACAGCGGATCTGCCCCTCTGAGTGCCCTGGCTTCAGGAATGAGTGCAGCCACTGTTCCCTCCTGTCCCCGGAAGGGCTTGCCCCTTTCTGGAATTTGGTTCATTGTATATTGTTATGTCCTCAGCTCTCTGGTGGGTTTCTAAAAACTCTCACGTTGTGGCTTCTCCCACATGTTCTCCTTGTTAGGGTGGGAGCCCCAGTTTATTTCAACTTTCCATATCCCGAGCAGAAGCAGAAATCCCTCCTCCTCCTCTTGGTCACCTCTGGCTGGAGGTCAAATGTCCTGCAGAGCATCCCACCTTGTGTGGGTCTGGCCTGTGCTCAGGGAGATCCCGAGGAAGAACAGGATGGGGGGAGGGTCCCACTTGGGAACCCTCTGGGCCCTGACGGTGGGGTGGGGGCAGCAGGCCGGGAGCCCTCCCCTCTGGCTCAGGCCCAGCGCAAACACCTGGAGGATCCTGAGATGAGCTCTGATCCCTGCGTCTTGGTTCCTGGTGGCCAGCCCCGCTGGAGGTAGGGGGGTGCTGCAGCACCCAGCAGTGTAGGAAAACGCCGGGGCTGTCCCTGGCGGGCAGCAGGCTGAGCTGAGTGCTTGTTTCTCCCCAGGGAAGCCACTGCCACCCCTTGCTAGCCGGCTGCACTTCTCAAAGGAAGAGAAGACCATTGTAAAACGCAAAGCCCGAGGTAGCCTTTGCCTTCCCTACGAAAACACAGCCCCAGCGCGTGGGCCGGACACTGGGCCCCCCGTGGGGCGGGACTCAGCGCAGGGCGGGTGGCCAGTGGACAGGCCAGGCTGCACAGCCCACCTCATGCGCCGTAGGAGGGCGTGGGGTGGAGAGGATGGGGCGGGGACACAGCCTCTGAGCACCTGCTGGATGTGGGGCGCTCGCGGGGCGCCGTGGAACCGCCCACCCTGGCTCTAGGCTGCCCATGAGGCCGCTGCATTCAAGACGACCCCGGGGACAAGGGGGGGGAGCAGGCTGAGGACCGGCTGCAGAGAAGGGCAGCGCAGAGGGCCGCCTAGAGGAGGGGGCCTGGTGGCGGGCGAGAGCTGCTGCAGAGCCAGGAGGGCAGAAGGGCAGGTGGGCCAGCTTCGGCCCTGGGGGCAGGGCAGTTGTGGGGGTCAGCAGAGGCAGAGAGAGTAAAGGGGCTCCCAGGTCCCTACAGCGGTAAAGCTCAGGATCACTTAAGGCCCCAGGCCTGGGCCACGGGGAAGGATCTGGGCGGCCAGACTAGATCGCCCCTGGGGCGGGGGGCGGGGTTTGTTGACTGGCCCCGCCCACCCCAGCCAGGGTCCCGTCCACCCCACCGTGCGCCCCGCCCACCCTGACTATGTGGGTGCTCATGCTGCTCCTTGCCTGCAGCCGCCCTGGAGGCCCAAGACGTGAAGGAAATCTGCACTAGCCCCGGCTGCGTGATGGCAGGTAAGCCCCTCCCCACCGCCTTCCACGGACGCGCCCAAGGGCCGGGGGCTGCCGGCGCAGGCCCTGCCCAAGGCCACGGGGATCAACCCGGGGCGGGCGGTGGGTGCCGGGAGAGCCTCAGTCGCGGTTCGCAGGCAGCTCGGGTCCTTCTCCTGAGGGGCCTTCTGGCCGCCCCAGAACCCGCCTGGGCTGCCCGAGGCCCCGGGACAGCAGCGACCGCCCCGGGGGCTCTTGTCCAGCCTCAAAGGTGGCACTGGCCAAGACCAAGTAGAACAGAGCTTGAGGGGGGCTCCCGGGGCAGGGGTCCTGGGTGGAGGGTGCAACCCAGACACCCCAGCTGAGAGCGTTCAGTTGGACCTCCAGGGCGCGTCCCCAGCACACTCTGGGCTCCTGGGGCCCAGCCATCCCCTCTAACAGAAAGCAAACCCCCGCTGGTGGGTAAGGGCAGGCCCTGCCCCCCGGGACCAGGCACACTGAGGAGCAAGGGGTTACAGGGGCAGGGTCGGGGGCAGAAAGGTGCTGGCCCAGAGCAGAGCCGGCGCCAGCTGAGCACCTCCTGTGGGCCCGGCGCCTCCCGGCCACGGCCTCTGTCCAAGCCCCCGCACTGCAGGTGGGAAACTGAGGCTCCGAGGGGCTGTGGGCCCAGGGTCGTGGGGTTAACAAGTGGGAGCCCTCGCACTTGGGTGACCATCTGCATGGGGGATCCCCCTTGCTCCCAGCCCCACTGCGGCTCAGAGAGGGTGGTTAACTCTCCCAGGGCGCACAGCTGCGACCAAATCTCCGACTGCTCGTGTCCCCGGGGAGCAAGTCTGTCTCATAGGCTTTCGGGCTGTGCACAACTCTGTCTCCCCTCTTCCTCCTCCACGAGCAGCCGCCAGGATCCTCCAGAACATGGACCCGTCCAAGGAACCGTGTGACGACTTCTACGAGTACGCCTGTGGAGGCTGGCTGCGGCGCCACGTGATCCCCGAGACCAACTCCAGATACAGCGTCTTCGACATCCTCCGTGACGAGCTGGACGTCATCCTCAAAGGTGGGAGCAGCACAGCCTCGGGGTGCAGGGTGGGGCTGCGTGCCCGTCGGGCCCCAGCCTGCTGGGCGCCCTGGGCTCTGTGGGCACCGAGGAGAGGGGACCCCAGGGGCAACGCCCCAGCTGCACTCTGGCCGGGTGCGGCTGGGGGTGGGGACCTCTGACCTGGACCCCCGCCCGGGCCGCCTGAGGCCGCGTCCAGCCTTCTGCTGTGCCCATAGCGGTGCTGGAGAACACCACCAGCCAGGACCGGCCGGCCGTGGAGAAGGCCAAGCTGCTGTACCGCTCCTGCATGAACGAGAGTGAGTGCGGGCAGGAGGGCTGCGGCGGGGCCAGCCTGGGTCAGCCCCAGGAGCCCCCGGCGGCCCCCAGCACAGCAGGGCAGGAGTGGGTGCCTGGAGGACTCAGGCCGGGGGGCTGTGCCCTGTGCCCCTCCCGGCCACTGGGTCCCGGTTTCCTGTGGGGCAGGGTCCCCGCCAGTGGCCCCGCGACCTCGCCGACACCCCAGCCCAGCATGGGCCACTCTGCCCAGGCAGCAGGAAGACAGTGGGGGCTTCTGTGTGTATTATGTATATATAGTATGTGTGAGTACGTGTGTCTGTGTATATGCAAGTGTATGTATGCGTTTGTGTGTATTGTGAGTGCATGTGTGTCTATGCATATAGGTGTGTATGTGTGTATTATGCATGTGTATATGGATGTGTGTGATAGTGTACATATAGATATATGTGTAGCATACATATGTATATATGTATGTTTATATATGTGTGCATTGTGAGTACGTGTGTGTATATGTTTATGTGCATATATGTATATTTGTGTGTATATATGGATATGTGTATGTGTAGTTGTGTGTATATGGTACATGCCTGTGTGTAAATATGCATACATGTGTTTGTGTATATGCATGTGTATATGTGTATTGTTTTTGTATGTGCAGATATGTGTATATGTGTGCATATATGGTGCATGCATATAGATATGCATTATGTGTTGTGTGTATAGATGTCTGTATATGTGTATTGTATGTACGTATATGTGTGCATGGGTATATGTGTGCATGGGTATATATGTTCATGGGTATGAGTATGTGTGCATGCATGTGTGTGTATGTGTGTGTATATGTGTATGTGTGTGTATGTTTTTGTGTGTGTATGTGTGTATGTGTGTATGTGTGTATGTATATGTGTAGATGTGTTTATATATGTGTGTGTGATGCATGCATGTGTGTAGGTGTGCATATATGTGTTCTCTGTGTGCTTGCATGTGTGTTATGTGTATATATGTGTATATGTGTGGAAGGGTGTGTGTGTGTGTTGCAGGGCAGATTTTGCATGTTTTGGTTCTTATTGAAAGGATTTCCATGCTTGGGGCACCCCTGGCCCACAGCCTGGCGAAGCTTCCACGTGGGGGTCTAAAGCCCAGCCTGTGGCCGTGGCTGCCCCAGGAAGCCAGCTTCCCTCCAGGTAGCACTGGGGTTCCGGGAGGGCAGGGTTTGTTCCTGGCATACCTGACCGGGTGACTCACTGGGACCCCTACTTGGGAACACCTGAGCTTGTCCCCCTTCTCCCCGTCGGGACTGGAGGTCGTTCATCCAGTCTGGCCAGCACCCACAGGGGACGGTGACGTGCTCTGTGTCCCACCGTCACTTACTCTTTGGCCCGAGATCAAGCCCTGGCTGCCGGCCGCTGCTGCAGGGCTGCTGTCCGACCTCCCGGCTGCCTCCTGTGGCCAGGGAGGGTCCCGGCTGGCAGCTGCAGGCTGGGAGTCAGGTTGTCTCTACAGGTGGTCTGGCCTTGCCCTTTGCATGTTCAGTC